TGCTTGTATGCTTCTTGGCACGTCCACATGATGGGAGAAGATGGAACTTGCTTTTATTGCAGTGACTTCAGTGGGCCAAAATTCTAATGTCCAATGTATCAAAATATGTCTAGAGTATAGTGTTTGGATGTTCTTTTTGGAGCAGATGGGTCCAGTTATTGGAGGGTTTGTTCAATACACTAGTGTCTTTGAGGTGATTAATTACATCATTTGATTAAGAGTTTCTTGAAGGTTAGAAGCTCGAAGATTGAACATCGAAGATTGAACCTCTGGAGATTCAGGACAGATTTGTGTGACTTCCTGTTGAGACCATGCAATCCATGCAGTCCTGCCCTTCCAGCCTGACTTTAGTTTTACTTCTTGCATGACCGCAGCGGACCGTCGTTAGGGCACATGCAAGCTGTTTGACATTAAAATGCCCGAAAGATCGAGACAAGTTTGTGCAGACCTACCAACTGCCAGCTTTGCCAAACGTCCACAAGAGACGATCCGTCTCTGTGTCCAAACTGATAAACAAACTGTTTGCTTGGAGGGAGACGACATCAAACAAACTTCAAACTATGATCTCACCCACATCATATTGAATACATACAAGTACAGATATTGAATGATACTATACATACTATACTCTAAAATGCTTTAAACACAATACGAATAAAGAGACTTGAACCTCCCACCCCCCGGACCCACGGACCTTCCCATCGCTGGCCTCCCACCGAGGTGTGCGTGGACAAGCCCCGCGTCTTCGCCGCGGTGCGCGACGACGAGGGCGGCGGCGCGGTGCACGTGGCGGCCGCCGAGGGCTTCAGTCACGTCATCAAGGTGCCGGTCACGTGTGGTGCCGGGGGGTAGTGCGAGTGTTTCGAAGGTCCATGAGTGGATGTGATGTGTCCGGGTGTGGTGCGGGGGGTGGAGTGTTCCGATGTGGGTTGCCGAAGAGGTGGGGCATCGGCCTTGACGGAGGTGCCCGGAGAAGGATCGGGGTGGTGTAGTCGGAGTGTTTCGAAGGTCAGTGGATGTGATGTGATGTGTGGGTGCCCCAAGAAATTCCACTAGGCACCCCGACATGTGACTGCTGGTGTTTGGCAAGACTTGGACATGATGTTCTTGGTGGATTCCTTGGACATGTACACAACGATTGATGTTGCGGATGAGGGCTGAAGGCCTCAGGCTGTTGGTTTTCGATGTGTTGTTTTTCTTAAAGGCAATTTGGGGAAACAGCCCCTTGCAACTGGTTGTTTGTTGTTTGGGGTCCTGCAGGAGATGAAAACAGAATGTGGTTGGGTCTTGAAGTTTCTCGGAAGAGAATGCTGGCCTTGCACCAGCTGAACCTCCGATCTCCTCGTGCCAGTTGCCTCCTGAGGAGCCAACGGGTTAACGACAGGTCCAGGTGGGCACTCCGTGCCATCGGCGCCTTTTCCAACGCCTGCGACGGCGACAACGCACCCTTCATCACACTTCCACCAAGCAACATGCCCTCACCCTATACTCAGGGACCTCACTACCAAGGCTTCGTTTGAAGCAGCCACTACAACACATGATTTTGGTCCACAAACACATGAGCAGTGGCAAAGGCAACCCTAAAGCATGGTTTAGCAGGGTTCGAGCCTACCAGTTCAATGGCTGTTCGACCAGGTTTGGGCTATAGCTCACAGCTGCTTCAACTTCGCTCTCCTGCCAGGTGCTGGTGGAGAATGGCGCCGATGTCCATGAGGTGAATCGGCTGGGGCCGGAGGCCCCAGAGACTTTGACCCTCGGGAGAGCTGAGCTGTTGAGAGCGCGCTTCCGCTTCTGCTTCCGCACACACGAATGGGCACCGAACGCTGGTGAGACTGGGGGTTTTCATCCCCCTGGGCGTCAGTGGAGATTGGCACCTTGGCTCAAAAGCTCCAAGTAGCGTCCTTGCTCCGTTCGTAGCGATGCCAGGAGCCGCGATCGTAGCGTTTTGGCTCCGTTCGTCGCGATGCCCAAGTTCCGTCCACGGCCTCCACAGCGTCCCCGGCGTCCTCCCTCCCGCAAGGCAGTCGGCATTGGACATCGCCATTGTGTGGACTCTCAGGGGGAGAGCGTGGAACCTCACGGCAAATTTGGGTATGCTTCGAAGGAAGGTGATGAGTAGACCGTATTTGACCCCTGTTTTGATAGGAAAAGACCCCCTATACATTATAGAGTTAGAGCTCACTCAGGTTCCAGTTTCGACGCATGCCTGCCGAATGCCTTTGCCTTTTTCAGGGCGTGCTCCTTCAAAGTCAAGGGAAGGGTCGCTTCCAACTTGCGCTTTGGGAATTACCAGAGGATACTTGGTATAGCGGTCCAGCGTTTCCAATGCATTTTAGTGGGGATCTACTTTTCTATCTATTTTGGGACGGGTCTATATACTTACAGATGTATCGTTTCGATTTTGGTCTCCGGGTCGGTAAAATAGATGTAAATAGCAACACCTTCCATGATTTTCCGTGTTCTTCCACGCTCAGTCCGTGCAGAAGTATTGAGAGACAATTAGAAGACGATATTTTTCTATTTTTGGGATAGTAGGCCGGGCTGTTCGTGAAGGAACAGGACAAGGAAGATGAATTCTATACTCTTGGCTTCCCATCGGAATGCCCCCCACTCCAGCGGGGCTTCCACATGGCCGACTTTTCCCGCCTTTTCTTCGGTGTCAAAGGCAGCGTTGGAAGATGCTGCCTACCCGATCCAAAAAGACCATTGGCTCGCGCGAACGATTGTTCAATAGCTCAGGCACATATGTGGCCTTTCCTGGTTGCTCCACCTACAGCACTCTTGATGAGCATTCCGGATAGCAAACATATTCTCGAACACTTGGTGAAGGAATCCACCTGCGGGTTACATATATATAATCCCTCAAAATCTCAGGTGCTTTGCACGGTCAAACTCTACCAGCCCGAGAGGGTCTTTATTGGCCGCAGGCTCCTAGAGTATTGTTGTTTGGCCTTGCCGTTTTTGAATGAAGACCATTGGAATTCTGCGGAAAACACTGGAGCTTGGATCCTCTCCAGCGCCTCAAAAACCCTCCCCAAACCGCACATACCACGCCCACACCCGCGTCGCGGCAACAACGCGGTTGCCGCGTCCGCCAGGAAGGACTTCAGCGTCAGTCCATCGACGTGGATTTGGAGGCGGAATGCCATGAAGACTGGGTGGCGGTTTCAGATATACATATTTCTATATGTTCAACCTGTAGTAGGGAATCAGGGAATGAGCCCCCAGTGATCTAGGACGGAAGTCATTGTGAGCGCCCCCCCAGGAGCTCCAGCCGCACGTGCCCGGAACGCGTTTTCGTTTTTTTCCGCGTCAATCGAACTGGCCACGTCCGGGAACGAACCAAGAGCAGCGGGAGCCTGTGGGAAAGGATCTGAAAGATCCGACTCCTAAGCCCCCAGAGAGAGAGAGAGAGTGTTGCGCAGCGAGGAAGAGAGAAGAATCCTTGCGCAGTGAGAGAGACAAAATGTGTATTTGAGACTGTTGGGAACGCCTGTTGAACCTGGCTCGAGGAGTCTGAAAGAATGCTGCCTGGTGGTCTTGACATATCTTGACATTTCTTGGGCTTCCTTTTGCTGAAGCCAGAGGAACCTGGATTTTTTTGAGGGAGCCATGGGCTCAGAATTCCCCTACATCAACATAAGAGCAACATTTATTGTTCCATCCTGAGCTTGAAAAAGATGGGCTTTCTGAAGATGAGTTAACCGTTACAGACTTCGACACAGAGCAGCACTGCTCACCTACTGTACCAGCATGTATGTGGGAAATTATAGCATTGTATAGTATTAGATCGTATCTTAATTCAAACTATTGCTCCCTATGGATCCACATACCCTCCAAGAAGGTGATTGGAGACACTTCCACCTTTGTCTGGGGGTCCAAGTACCTTCTGAGAAGATGTGTGGATTTGTAGGGAATGAATATCCCAGAGGTCTTTAAACTATATTGCAGCTGGTGCCCGCCCCTCATCTCGTGTTTAGTACCGGGGAACCCGAGGGCTTCTCGCTTCCAAAACCCACCCGCCTTTCACCGCCTCGTTTCCACTCGTCGCGCGCCAGTTGTGTGGCCGCCTTCAAGAGACGGTCGACCTGCTGCACAACGAGTACGAGGTCATCAGCTACGAATACGTCCTCCTGGCGACGTCTTTCACGTCGAATCGACACGGTCCATTCCGTCTCGACGACGACCGCGAGTTTGAAACACGTCAAACGCATCAAGCGTCAATCCCAGGGGGAGCCGGTTTGGGGTGGTTCATGGATAGTCCACCCCGAATCACCTCTGTTTGGAGCTCTATTTTTAGACACCCCGAGTTGCCGGGGGCCCGGGTACACGGATAGTCCACGCATAGTCCTCGCCACCGAGTCCACAGGGTCCACCGAGTTCTGAGATCGTGCCTCTCAGCGAGGTGGAGGTGGGCGGAGATGGTTTGAGGGTGTTCTGGATGCTTGATTGATCAAAACCCCCCATTTGGGCGCGGACTTGCGGACTCGCTCCCACCAACCGACCCTTGCACACGGGTGGTGCGGGTTCGGGTGGGTCTTTCTGCTCTACCGTGACACGTGCCATTTGGATGATCTATATAATCATAGTTTTTAATCTCTACCCAGTCTGGAAGAAGGTGTTTCTTTTTCCAGGGAAACGGCTTGGGGCTCAGGAATCTACATTATTTAGGTGTTTTGTGTGCTTTGGCGTCATTGCTCATTATGTCCTTTCAAGCTCGTTCAAGTCCAAAAACCAGCTATGTGTTGACGGGCCGATGCCTTATCCACAGACTATTACTGTAGTTGTTGAGGCGAAATCGGCGAAAGGTTTGAGGGTTGTGGACTTCCAACATGTCACCTGCACCGTCACATCCGTTCGGTTTTGTTTGGGATGTTTTGGGGAGAAGCGATTCGAACGCCTTTTCTGTAGAACCACGTGAATCGAACGTGCCGACCAAGCAAGCTCTTGCCGACCAGAAAAAGAGTCCATCCCACAAGTTTGGTTTCGGTGGTCGGACGATGAGTAAGAACGTCTACGCTGGTGATTCCAGCGACAGCGACGTCGCAGTCATGGCCGCGCCAATCACCTGGACGCGCATGGCCTTCGGCATGGTTTGACCCGACCTTTGGACCCAAGCGCCGGGCCCGGGGGCGGTGAAACGTCTCATGTGGTCTATGGCTTGGTGGTGGCCCTGGCCAGATCCCAAGCCTCACGTCGTTTGCCCCTTCGCCGTTCATCCGGCCAGGTGAAGTACAAGAAGCGCGGCACCTGGTTCAAGCGCCCCGAGACCATGTTGAAATGGCTGAGGATCAAACACCTGTCCGGGAGACTCAGCAGTGGGCGTTTCGGACACAAGCCTGGCAGGATCGCCCGGAAAGTCGATTCTTGTGGCGGAGACGACTTCGGGGAGATGTTCATCGAGCTTTCGTTCGGCTCGAACTGCGGCTAGATCGATGGGATACGGGCCTTGGGTCCTTTGAATTAAGACACCCAAGTTGAGAAGGAAACACTGCGGCAAACTGGTGATTCGTTGAGCCCTTCTATTTGCAGACTGCTGGTTACATTCACCTACGGTTGATGGACCGGATTTGGTCCCCTGCCTGAGAGACCTTCCAACTAGTGAGTCCGCCATTGCGGCATCCCAGGATATCCCATGATCACGAGTTGTTAGGAAGTCCCTGTTGCACAAAGCAGGGTCCAGGGTGGAGATCTGTGTCATCCAGGGCGAGTCTCAGGCGAGTCTCGTGTTTTTTTCACTGTATACACGTTGTTTGAAGATGCCGGCAGAGATGTATTCCATGAATGCTTGGCGAGGCTGGAGCATCACTTCGAGAACCTCAAGAGGGCCTTTTTAGACACTCGGCGAGGAGTGAGCATATGGGAACCAGCAATGTTTGTATACTATCAAGCTACAGGGAATGGGCATGTGTTTGTTCAAGGCTAGAATTATTAGACGGCACAAGCCGTTTGATTTGGGGGATATGTATGATACTGGTGATTTGCATGTTTTGCTGTACTTCAGAACTATTGAATTCTTGCTTTCCCAAGATGATCCACTAGGGCAATGAGACATCGCCAGCAAAAGTGGCTGGTGATGGTTACCAAAGGCATGTAAAGGCCTTTCTCCAAAACAGTGATAATTGTTTACCGACTGTTAGGACAGCCCCAATTTACATACCCACCTGTGAGTTCCAGCACAGTGTCGGAGGCTGTTGTCATTGGAAAGCTTCTCCAAGCCAAGGTAACCTTGTGACCGAGGCAGCCATCGGCATGCCTAGCATCGCCCAGCTGAAGAGCTTGTCCGGGGTTCGTGATATGTTCATTTTGAGCTACCAGCCATGTTCATGACATGTTCCAGATGAGGAGGTTGATAGGTCAAGATGGTCTTGGGGTTGGGTTGGCCTCTCACTTTTGACCTACCAACGTTTTCTCGACTTGCTTTAGCGATGGAGAAGCCGACGGATGCAGACCGCACCCCGTCTCCATCCAGTCTCCATCGATGCGGTCGCAGCTTGACCGTTGGGCCATGCTCTACCGACCACCGATGGTCCGGCAAGCTCTCCGAGATTTGCGCAGGACACCAGTGGACATCCACGCGAGAACGGCAGCATGTATGCCCTCGTGTGCCCTCCAACGAAATCCAACGAACATGGTGACGTGGACGTCCACTGTGCACTGGAAAGACACATTTCCGAAGACCAAACTGAGGGCGTGTCCACTTCCATGATTGTTTCAGGGAGATTGCAGTAGATGTTGGGTCATGTTGGGTCCCAGAATGGTCTGACGCACTGAGAGTCAGAGGAACATCACCCCTGGTGCTAGAAGGGACCTTTCTGTGTCGCTTTGAACGGCGCCGCTTCGCGGCGTTCGTTCACGGGGCCTCGACAGACACCTCGGATCGATCCGATCGACCGGTGCCTCCCGATGCTCGCGATGCCTTCCTCAACCAGCAGCGTCCCACGCAGAGGGAACATTTGGAACCCTCTCGATTCCTCAGGTGGAACATCCAGCTTGACCAGATGGAATCCAGTTTCTCAGGTGGAACATCCAGAATCCAGGTGGTTGCTCTGTTTGGAGCGCATTTCGATCTCCTCAGCCACCCAGCGTTGACCTGGAGACCTGGAAACCCACCCGACGGGTCGAAGGTTCCACACTGGTGTAGCTGCCCGGATCCATCTCCAACCATCTCCCTCAGGCTATAGGTGGATTCGACCCCCCAAACTATATAACCCACCCTAACCATCTTCGAAACGCAGGTAGGCCATGAGAACTATCCGGGTGTATATAGGCTCCATGTTTGAAAACCCACCCTGGCACCCACCCGAACCTCACTTCGCTAGGCCAGGAGCCCATCCAGGTGTGATCCATCCGCCCCCCCGTCCGGATCCAAGGAGATCGACACCAATCACTCCGGCGGCATCGTGCGCGCGCCCAGTGGACGCCGGAAACCGCCCGTGGCTTTGGGGTTCGGGTCCACCCGCATCGTGGAAGGAAGAGTGAACTACACCCAACGGTTGTTGGATGGTTTGATGGTGGATTACATGGAATGTTTGGTACGTTCAACAGCGAGCGGCTGAATCTCCTCCACCGGGGTTCTACGAGCTGTATATATATATATATAGGATCAAGGATGAAGGTTTGGGACATCAAGCTGGGTGGTGAGCACATCCACGATTCAAGAAAGCTGCCCTATTTTGGAAGTGCGAGTTTCATTTGTACAAACTATTTAGAGCCAAAAGAAAATGAAGTCAGAAAATTTGACACTCCTCCATTTGACCATCCAGGTCCAATCAACCTCATAATCAACCTCTCACTTCTTGCGTCAGGTGAAGTACGAGTGGGAGGCCATGTTCGGCGCAGAGGGCCAGGTCAAAGATGCCTTGGCGGCGGCCGACTTGGACTCCAACGACGTCTTCGGCATGCCGGGGAGCCGAGCGGAGCCGAGCGGAGCCGGGGCGGTGTCGGTGAAGTGCCGACCAGTGACAAGATATGTTACTATTTAAAGATTGATAGATGGATAGATAGATAATGATAGATATAGATAGATACATGGATAGATACTTGTCAGCGTCAGCAACTTTGGTCACCCTGATCACCTCAATTGTGGCAAATCATTGTAGTTACGATATAACTTGTTCCTTTGGGTGTTTCTTGTTGAGGTGGTCTTCTTATATATAGGGTTTTGTTTCGTTGGGATCTCTCAACAGGGTTGTTGGGTTCCCTGTTTCCGTCCTCGTCCACCTGGTGGTACGGTACCATGTGTTTCGACCGCTCTGCGTTCGCAGAGCGGGTGGAGTTTTTGAGTTTGGGACAGAATCGTTTGAGTTTGAGCCTTCTCTACGCCACAAATCTCGCAAGTAGGACGGGTGAAGTCCTCCAAATACCCTGAAAAGAGAATAACACAGGCTTCCGGAAAGGCTTCCTACAGCACTTCCGAGCTGGGTATGCTGTAAGATGGACCAAAGTGATCTATACTCTGACGAACACATCACATGGAAGTGGAAAACGGTTGGAAGACTACTTTTCTTTACAAACAGGTGGGTTTTCCACTTTCACGTTAGTGAGTCGGAGTGTAAGTATCGGAACTGAGATGACTTGGAGCTGTTGTACAGGATCCCTTCTGTGAGAGAGATTTGCGCGTGGATGTGACAATCGGAAGAGACATACGAATAGGAAGCAAACTTAGAGTAAGCAAACTTCGATGCAAACTACGAGGTGATTGGACTCTTCATCCCCACGTGTGCTGGGGCAAAACCAAATCTTTTATTCTGACCATTAAGAGATATATGCCCTAGGCCTCCAAGCACCTTCTCAAGAGGTACTTGGAGGCGTAGGGATGAAGATCATGAAGGGTTCCACCCAAAACAGACCAGAGCAGCAGAGGTTGGATGGTCTCGACATCGAGGGCAAGGACTGAGCTGTTGTGTCGTGTTTCTTGCCCACGCAAGTTTGTTCCAGCGGGAAGCTGGGTTGATGACAATGTGAGATACATCATGATACATCACAACACAAGCTGAACGATATGTTGGAAGACAGTTGGATGTGTTTCCCATGTTACTTGAGGAAGGCTTCTATGTGTTCTCAAGCGATCCCCTCTTCACTTGGCATCCCAAGACGCTGCGTCGGCACGCATCCTCCGCGATCGCCCGCGCATCGACCCCGAAACTCCGACGGAGGAAACGCCTTAAGCCGGTCAATCTAATGGTCAATCTAATGGTCTCGGGCTTGCTAGGAATTGTATAAACACACACGGGATGATCATAGATCGAGCTTTTCTTCAAAGCATCATGGATGGCTTTGAGGGGAGAACCTCAAACGAGACCTTCACTGCAAACGTCCACATGGCCCGTCCGCACTGCGGCACTGCGTGGGCACTGCGTGTTGCCGACATAGCACGACGATGTGACGTTGCTGGTCACTGGAAGAGTGGTATGAATGGAGGAAGAGCGGTGCACACAGCAATCAGTTACCACACATCACAGACATAGATGGATAGCTTGCACCTGGAACCTGAATGACCTCTAGTTTGGACCACGAACCGCCGCAAGTACGTTCCTTTTTCCTGTGCCAGGTATGCATGAAATTATATAACCGTTCTTAAGGACATTGCATGCGATCGTCGGTCTCCGTTCTCGCCACATCGTGATGCGCGGGATGCGCTGAGCAGAAAGTGCCAGATTCACAGGCCCTACACCTCCAGTCGTGCCTCCTCAGAAGGTAAGACTGGACCCTCCTGGCACCCACCCCAGTCCCACCTTCTCAGGTTCGGTACGACTGGCCAAACGGGAGGTGTAGTTTTGCGGTAGTGGGCTTGGACCGACTGCCACGTACAGACCAGGTCTTTTGACAGAAGTGGATCGGTCACTTCACCCTTTGTGACCGGTGGAAAAAGTGAATGTGACGTAACGATGATGGTGAGCCGACTGCCTAAACGCCGGAGACCCCATAAAAACAGGTGCGAAGGATGGGACTTGTACTTGTAGCCCTTTTCTGAGGTACGAACTGAGACTGATTTGTTGACCTCTATTTTCCAAACATTCCCACACAGTCAGTTGACATGGCAGGACATGGTCATCACCAAGAGTGCTTTCGAGCTTTTAGACCTCCTGGCCGCCTGGACTTCGATTATGCCGTCTCTTTGCCTCGGCTGCGGTGGTACTCAACCGCATAGTTCGGGTAGAGAAGGTGACAAGGTGTGTAGTGTAGATCCAATAGGGAGAGCCTCCAAGTAGGCAACGACTAAAGATAGACCCAATCCAATGCCATATTTATATATTTTTAGGGGGTCTCCCTTAACAAAAAGAAACTGTTGTCATTTGATGTCATTTGTCGTTGCTTTTTGGATCTTTGGGTGATGCAATGGGCATGTTTGCTGAAAGCATTCGGCTACCGCACCAGCCGGAAGTAGCGCATACTCGCCACTTCCGGCTTTCTGAGTCAGAGTGGGTTGATTCTCCAAAGTACGAGAGGTGCTCTCCAGATGGTTGGTGGACATGTTGCTTGGTTGGCGGTCTTGTTTGTTTCCGCTTGTTTTGGCCAGTCTGGGTGCACTCTGCCAGTCAGGTTTGGTGTTGTCTTGTTACACCTGGGGAATTGTATCAAGATGCTTGGTCAGAACGGTCCAAGCCTTAGTCCTGATCAAGAATGGCTTTGGCAACAAATCCATGTCCAAATATGCAATTGGACCCACCATGCTGCATTTGCCCTCGTGAGCTAGTTCTGGTTGCTACTTTCCATGCCATGCCTGGGATGTGTTGATCCCAAAACGATTTTTGAGGTGAGTTCACCACAATCTCTTTCGTCTTCACAACCAAACGTCTTGAGGCGTCTGTCTACAGAGACATCAGGGGGCACAGGAACGATTCATAACGATAGACCTGTTCGGCCCAGGACTGGCATTTGACTTCCGACATTTGGCAGGACATCCTACTGAAGCCTTTGTTCGCCCGGAACCCGGAACGCAGAGTCAAGCGGGAAGGATGGAAGAGCGGGAATGGTCAAACAGATGAACATGTCACACGCTGCGAAGCGGGGCTTGCAGAGAAAGTAATATCCGAGGAGGTTGTTTTAATGAGTCAATCATGGAACTTCCAATTGCTTCCCAGAACAAGATGGAACTTCAGTGGTAGAATGGCTCATTATACAACTGAACCCATATGCCATATGCGGTCCAGTTCCATTTTCCAACATATGTTGTTTAAACCTGAAATGAGTAGCGTGTTGTTTTTCTCACGTGAGAAAGCACAACAATCATTCCATGCCATGCCCTCCTGAGCGCCATTTCAGCGCCATGTTTCTTTCGCGCGCCATGTTTGCTCGCTGCCTGAGGTGAGACAGCGTCGAGGTGCAGTGGGGCGTCACGCATTGCCACCACCGCCAAAGCTGGAAGAGTTGGTGGTACATTGAAAATCCCAAGAAGGGATTTTGACAAAGAAAGCCAAAAAACATAATATACATATAATTGACTATTACAAATATATATAATATAGCTGAACAACATATAATGTTGAATAATATACTATAGTATAGTATGATACAATATAGTTTGCATATTTATTATCATACGAAGGGGTTGCTATTCTTGACCAATGTTCTTTCACTTTGGACAGCAGAAATGAAACACTTTGGAGAGTCTGCGGCAGTTCCCCAAAATATGTGATGCCGAGTGCCCACGATGTTGATCGCTCTTTGCTACTTTCCTACTGTAGGCTCGAAGATGGTAGTCCTACTGTAGTGAGGGCATCATACACAGGTGAATTTGGAAGGGCTTGTTGGCCTCGTTTCTCCGCTCCTATGGCCTTTCGGTGCTCACCGTGCTCGCCCCCAAATCGACAGCAGGGGCCGGGTCGAAGCAGGCGCGGTTGCCAGCCCTGAAACATGCGAAGCTCCTCCTACCGACGGTCAGCTCCTCCTCGCTGATGTCCCGGCTCCATCCTTTTCTCAGGATGTCCCGCTGAACCGCTCATGTCTCCCTCATGTTGTCGAAGCCATGGAACGCTGCCATTGCCATGGACACCCGCCGAAGAGGAGCCGTACAAAACGCCGAAGCCACGAGGTTTGAAGTCTCGTCACCGAGACTCGGGGATGACTTCAGGTCATATACTGTGAGTGGATAGTGATTAGGCAAGCAAGACGTTTTGGTAAACAGGCTTAAAATGGGTTTCGCTGCTCCAAGACACATCTTTGTTCAAGATTCTATCCTTTTCCACGGAGAAATCCTCCATTTCACAGTAGATGCTGTAGGTGGTCCAATTGCTGACATGGGGGAGTTGGTTTAAAAAGAACAAACATGCATTAGCATCATTAGAAATCATTGGCCGACGATGCTTTAGAGAAGTGTACACCAAACTGGTTGTTTCATGTATAGCGGACATGTTTTGTGTTAATTTGCTTACGTGTTGTGATGCCATGTGTGCAAGATAATACTTTGTGTATCATGTTGTGCTGTTTTTATTCAAGGAAAATGTCAATAGGGATGAGGTCTCAGTATAGTCGCTATACAGGTACATGCCATATACCATTTTGGCTCAAGTGCCCAACCAGGTAAAAAGGAGCTTTAGCGCGCGAGCTTCATGTTAAACTAAGGGCTAGAACGGGGCCAGGGGCACGCTTTTCATCCGTTCGCAGGTTATCAGCCGTATCCAGACTCCTTTGAGCTGGGTACGTGCTGCGGCCTTACACAACACCATCTAAACGCACACGCATCGGATAGATCAGTTACCCTCAGTCACTGAAGATGGAACAATCCGACGCCAGCACTGCATCCTTTGGAGCAGCTGCTGCGGCCGCAGATCGGATGAGTGCATCCCACAACTCTAGTCCAGGTACGATCGAAGCGGAGACTCTGACAGTGGTGAGAGAAGATGCGACAGGTAGAGCACGAAGTCGTTCCCCGTCAGCGCACTCGACACCACCAGGGGGGACACCGAGATCGGGCCGTAGCCCTAGGGAGACAAGGAGGAGGACTGACACCGGAGCTGTGAGAGTGCTAGCTTTAGAGGAT